AATTATAGGAACACAAATTAAACCTACCTCATCTTTGTCCTTAAGATAAAGAAGATATCTATTAGATCTTGATTTTAGATTTTCTTCTACTGATTCTAAAGAAAAAAATCCAAACATAAATAATATTTCCGTACTATTAGACTACTTTTAACTTAATGAACTATTTTCTCTACATGTAGTTAAATTTTTAGAAATGTAGTTTGATAATCTTGTTTGCTTACATAAAATTGTTTTTACATTTTTAGAGCTAAATATACTCTAGAATAATATGCTTTAAAAGTGAATTTTTATCAACAGAATATAGCTTTTGATTACTTACTATAATATAAAAGTGTACAGTGGGAAAATTATTTCTAAATAAAATAGAATCATACTAAATAGTCAAAGAATTTTTTCATGAATTCCGGTGTAAAGAGATATATTTCCCTCAACCTGAATTATCACCTCTACCCCCATCTCCAATCATGAGTTTTATTAATCCAAATTATAATTTAATGGATTGTCTTAAAGTAGGCATAATGTAGGGTCAAGCATACAGATTTTGGATTTAGATAGCCTGGGACCAAAACCTACTTTGTGTGTGTGTGAGACATAGCCTTAGGAAAGTTATTTAACCCCTCTGGTAAAGGCTACTCTGATGATGTCTCAGAAAGAAATGAGGAACATGCTATTGGACAATGAAGAAAAGGCTATTTTTGCTATAAAGTGACAAAGAACTTGGCCATATTGTGTTTGTGTCCTAGTATTTTGTGGAAGGTAGAACTTGTAAGCAATGAACTTGGATATTTAGCTAAGATTTCTATGCAAAGCATTGAAGGAGCAATTTGGTCCCTTCTTACTGGTTGTAGTAAAATGCAAGAAGAGAGGAATGGATTGAAGACAAAGTTGCTAAGCAAAAGAGAATCAGAACTTAAAAATTTGGAAAATTCTCAGCTTGTTCATACTACAAAAAATGAGAAAGCATGTTCACAAGAGAACTAAAGGTGTGATGGACTGATCATTTGACAAGGAGATTGGTGTGGGCGTGAACCACAGACCTCATCAGCCACCCCAGCAGAGACACTGCCATATGAACTGCCTCTTCAGTTCCTTTTTAAAAAAATCTTTATTGTTGAATGTAGAGTGTATTACAGATATTCCACATTTTCCCCCCATTGACCCCGTCTCCTCCCCACTCCCGCTCCCCTCCCGCCTTTTCCCACACTATTGTCTGTGTCCATTGGTTATGCATATAAGTTCTTTGGTTTATTTCTTCCCACCACCACAACCCCTTTCCCTTTGAGGTTTGTCAGTCTAGCAATGAATTTGTACTTCTTAATCCCTTCACCTTTTTCACTCATTCCCCCAAGCCCCTCCCATCTGGCAACCAACAAAATGTTCTCTGTATCTATGAGAATGTTTCTGTTCTACCTGTTCATTTTATTTGTAGATTCCATTGTTGATAGATATGTGTCATTGCCATTTTGTTTGTTCATATATTTTATCTTTTTCTTCAAAAAGACCCTTCATCATTTCATATAATAACGGTTTGGTGGTGATGAGCTCCTTTAACTTTTTCTTGTCTGGGAAACTCTTTATATGGCCATCAATTCTAAATGACAGCTTTGCAGGATAGAGTAATCTTGGTTGTAAGTTCTTGCTTTTCATCACTCTGAATATTTCTTGTCACTCTCTTGTGGCCTGCAAAGTTTCTTTTGAGAAATCAGCTGACAGCCTTATGGGAACTCCCTTGTAGGTAACTAGTTGCCTTTCTCTTGCTGCTTTTAATATTTTCTTTTTGTCTTGAACATTTTGCATTTTGATGATGATGTGTCTTGGTGTGGGCCTCTTGGGGTTCATCTTGTTTGGGACTCTCTGTGCTTCCTGGACTTGTATGTCTCTTTCCTTCACCAAGTTAGAAAAGTTTTCTGCCATTATTGTTTCAAACAGGTTTTAGATTTCTTGTTCTCTCTCTTCTCCTTCTGGCACCCCCAAGATGCAAATGTTGGCATGCTTGAAGTTGTCCCAGAGGCTCCTTACACTATCCTCATATTTTTGGATTCTTTTTTCTTTTTGCTGTTCTGATTGGGTGTTTTTTGCTTCCTTATATTCCAAATCAATGGTTTGCTTCTTGGATTTACGTACTCTACCATTGCATCTGTGTAAATTATTCTTTATTTCAGTTAAAGCCTCCTTCATTTCTAACTGTGCATCCATCATTTCTGACTGGTCCTTTATTATGCTCTTGAGGCCCTCACTAAGTTTACTGAGGTTCTCACTGAGTTCATTGAGCATCCTTATAAGCAGTATTTTGAACTCAGCATCTGTTATGTTGCTTATCTCCATTTCGCTTAGTTCTTTTCTTGGGGTTTTGTTCTGTTCTTTCATTTGGGACCTGTTTCTTTGTCTCCTCATTTTGGCTGCCTCCCTATGTTTGTTTCTGTGTATTACTTAACAAGAGGTATGGGGCTCGCTGAGACCAGATGCTGCTTGTTTGAAAGAATTTAGGAAAAACCTGAAGCAGGATCCAAGACAGGCCAATCCTATGGTTAAGCAAGTGGCAACAGCTTGGGTGGGCCTGAAAGTTGGGTGGGGCGGGGCCTCAGGAGTCACCAGGGTGGGGCTACCAGTGTGAGCCAGGTTGCTGGAGTCCCAGATATGGCCGCTGTCTGCTGCCCTAGGAAAGGGTTCACCAAAGAAACAAAGGCCTCTGACAGCACGTTTGTCCCAGAGAAAGCCCCCTCTCCAGCCCTCGCTCCAGTGCCAAACAGCTCAGTTCTTCCCTGTATGTCTCTGGTGCCCCTTGAGCTGCCTCCCCTCCAAGCTTAGAGGAAGAGAGTCCAATAAGTTAGTGTGAGGGCCCTTTAAGGAGCTGCCTGGGGCTCCAGGCGCTTCAGCTTCCCTGAGCCTCAGTTCCCGCTGGTTTTTCCAGCCAGAAGTTATGGGGATTCTCTTCCTGGCACTGAAACCCTGAGCTGGGTGCCTCCACCCAAAACCTTAGCGCAGCCTGAAGCCTTGGGGGCATGACTCCTACTGGACATAGTTGTAGGAAAGGGATCCCTGCCTACCAGAGTTGTGGGGGTGTGGGGAATTGTGACTCCACCCTACAGAACTATGGTGGCAAGACCTCTGCCCTATGGATCCAGAAGATACAGAATTGAGCAAAAGAGGATTGTTTTTGAGCCTTAAGGTACCATGAAGTTTGCCTTAATAGGTTTTAGACTGGCTTGACCCCATCACTCCTTACTTTGTTCCTATTTCTGCATTTTGGAATGGGAATGTCTATCCTATGCCTGTACCATCTTTGTATTTCGGAAGCACACAATTTGTTTGGTTTCCAAGGTTCACAGCTGGGGACAAATTTTGCTTCAGGATGTATCATATGTTGAGTCTCACCTATATTTGATATAGATAATATTAGATGAGATTCTGGAATTTAGTAATAATATAAAATTCAGTATGAGAATAAAATAAAGTGTTCTAAATTCCTTTTATTTTCTAGAAAAAGGGTAACATTCGATTTTGAAAGGATGCATATTATAATTTCTAGGGTAATAATTTAAAGAAGAGAAACAGAGTATATAACTTCCAATTGTTAAAGGAGAAAAGTTTAAAATTTTAAAAATTAAATCTTAAGACACAAGAGGACAGAAAAAGAAACACAGAATCAACAGGAGAGAGAGAGAATAAAATAAGATGGGAGATTTAAATCCAAAAACTTTGCTAATTACTTTAAGTATAAATGAACTAAATGTTCCATTTCAAAGACAAAGATTATCAAAGTAGATTTTAAAATCTATCAACTTGATGTTTGTAAGAACTAAATATAGATCATAATGTTACAGAAAGGTGGTAATAAAATGATGGAGAAAGATACACATGCAAATCTTAGCCAAAAGAAAGCTGTGTAACTAACAACTACTGCAACACTGGATAAGATGAAAATCAATTCAGTAGAGATGTGATCATTCTTAGATTTTATGCAATTAGTAACTTGGCCTAAACTATATTAAAAATATGTAAAGCAAAATTTGACATGCTATAAATAAGAATAAATAAGTCTAAAATTTCTCATGAGAAGAGTTGAAAAACACAATGAACAGATTTGATCTGAAAGACATGTATAGAACACTGCACTCAACAGCTATAGAATCTCTATTATTTTGAAGCACATATGGAGCATTTATAACTGTGTAATGGGTAATAATGCAAGTGTTAACTAATTATGCAACTGAAATCATATAGAGTGTATCCTCAAACCACAGTGTAATTGTGCTAAAAAGCAATAACAAAAAGATAATCAGAAAAGCCTTATATATTTTGAATTAAGACATATACTTCTAAATATCCAATGGGTCCAAGAAGAAATAATAGAAAATAGACACGATACTCTTGAAGAACAAGGTGGGAACACTTGCTCTACCAGATATCAAGGGTTATTTTAAGCTACAAAATTAATGTTCCTGTAAAGTAAGTTTCTATTAATCAAGATGTCCATACTTGTTTGATTTTTTAAAAAACAATAAAAAGAAACTTTTAGGGTTGAACTGAAAGGAAACACAGAATTTTTTTTTCTAGAAAAATAAATTAACATAAAAATATATTCTTAACCTTTGAATTATATAAATGATCTATTGTGATATTTAACATCTCTTTATCTAAGGAAATTCTCCTTTACAGCTCACTAAAATCTTTCATATGTAACCCATATACTTTCAAGCAAATGCTTTCAACAGAGACATCAAATGATCAAGAACTTTAAGATATAAATACCAGGGGGTGGGAAGAGATAAACCAAAGAACTTATATGCAGATATGCATAACCAATGGAGACAGACAATAATGTGGAGAAAGCAGGAGGGGTGGGAGTGGGGACGAAGGGGTCAATGGGGAAAAAAAGGGGGAACATCTGTAATACTTTCAACAATAAAGATAAAAAATAAGATACAAATACTAAAGTGTAAAATAAAAACATGCATTAATAAATCAAAAGAGAAATAAATATATTACACAAACATTACCTATTGACTTGTTTTCTTTATTTTGTATCTTTGTTGGCATACAACGTGGTCTTAAATTTAACTTTTCAAAGTCACTCTTTTTAGGTTCAGACTCATTTTTGAAGGAACCATACCTGGAAGAAATAAAATTAATGTAATTAAAATAATCAGAAAACTTAGAAAATTAATCTAAAAGATGAATTTTGAGAAATGTGGTAAAGTTCCAGTTACATAGATTTGGATATTGTTATATTAATATGTTATAGTAGAAAATGTAAAAGATTGGGACAGATAAGCAGAAGCTGAAAATATTAGTGATATTCACTTGAAGTAAAGAGAAACAGGAAGCTGCTGTTGTCACAAAATTGAGGGCACTTCAGGACGCTACTGCTCAGGAGATGGTTAACCCTTTTAGAAAAATATGCTGGAAAATTGTTAAATGAGATACTTGGTTGGGGACATTGCCAGACTTGAATCAAAGTGATGAAACATGGAGTTAGGATCAGTTCGGATACCATATCACAGCATTTATTTATTGTAAATAGAAATTTTTCACCATTGAATTCTGACTATTGATGGTGTGTACAAAAGTTAATGGTACAGCCTTGGCCAGTTTGGCTCAGCGGTTAGAGCGTCGGCCTGCGGTCCGGAGAGACCCGGGTTCGGTTCCCGCTAAGGGCACGTACTTCGGTTGCAGTTTGTCCCTGGCCCTGGTTGGTCGTGCGGGTGGCAGCCATTCGATGTGTCCCTTCACGTCGATGTTTCTCTCTCTCTCCCTTCCTCTCTCTCCCTCCCACTCTATCTGTACAAAAAATGGAAATATATCCTCGGGTGAGGATTAAAAAAAAAAAAAAAAGTTAATGGTACATAATTCATGATATTTCTGACCTCTAAATGCTTGTAACCCATGATTTGGTCCTCAGACCTCAGACACTCAACTGTAGTTGATATTAACCAGTACCACACCTTTAATCATTACCTGTACGCTGATGTCCCCAGGTGTGTAGACTAGACCTCAAACTCTTCTTTAGCTGCAGATTTATATATCCAACTGCTATAAGACTTAGGACAGCCATCTCAAACTTTATACATTCTAAACCAAATTCTTGTTTCCACCTTCTTCTCAGTCTGTTCCTCACCCAGGCTTCTCCATCTCCAATCAATTGGAGGCTTGGGCCAAAAACTCCGCTGTCGCCCAGCCGGTGTAGCTCAGTGGTTGCGCATCAACCCATGTACCAAGAGGTCGCTGGTTCAATTTCCGGTCAGAGCACATGCCCCGGTTGTGGGCCAAATCCCCAGTGAGGGGCATGCAGGAGGCAGCCAATCCATGTTCTCTCTCATCAATGTTTCTATATCTCTCTCTCCCTTCTTCTCTCTCTAAAATCAATAAAAAACAAAACAAAAAAAAAACCTTTGCAGCCCTGGCCGGTTTGGCTCAGCGGTTAGAGCATCAGCCTGCGGTCCCGAGAGACCTGGGTTCGGTTCCCGCTGGGGACATGTACCTTGGTTGCAGTTTTTCCCCGGCCCTGGTCGGTCATGCGGGTGGCGGCCACTCGATATGTCCCTTTCGCATCGATGTTTCTCTCTCTCTCTCTCTCTTCCTCTCTCTCCCTCCCACTCTACCTGAACAAAAAATGTCCTCGGGTGAGGATAAAAAAAAACAAACCTTTGCAGTCATCTTTTATTTCTTTTTCTCATTCCTCATTCCCAACCTGTCAGCAAATCTCATTAGATTTTTGTTTGAAATAGATTCCAAATCCAATTCCTTCTTTCCCCATTACTTCCACCCTAGTTCCAGACCCTTTCATCTTTCATCTGAACCACTGTGTGCCTTTAACCTTCTTCTGTCTGCTCTTCTGCTATCACCCTGGCCCTGAACAGTCTATTTTCAACACAAACATGGTAACACCTGTAAAATATAAATACGATTGTCATTTCCCTTCTATTGTTTCCTGTTAAACTGAAATAAAAGTTAAAATCGTCACTGCAAGGCAGAAAATTTCCCCCAAATCTCATATTTATAAGTAAAGGAACTTCCACTGAATGTCCCCCCAGGCCTCTCTCTGCACCCCATTTACTGTACATTTTCTAGAAGTTTGGTTTAAGGAAAGGAACTTCAGATCCAGCTTAAGGACCTTGACTCTTGCTCTTCTCTCTGCTGTAATATGCTTCTCCCAGGTAGTGACAAGCCTTACTTCCTTAAGACATGGAGATATTAGTCTCCGGTCACATTTCCACCTCTTCATAAAGGTCTTTCTGCCCCCAACCCCTGCAAACCCATTGAGCTTAATTCCCTTAATTTACTATATTTTTCTTCATAGCATTTATAACTAGTGGATTTATATTACATATTCATTCTTTACTTAGTTTATTATATGTATCCCTATTTTATCCTAGAATATACATTGAGGGTGGTCTTTGTTTTGTTCTATGTTGTATTTCGCAGCACCTAGAACTGTGACTGGCACATAGTACGTGTGCAATAAATACCTGTTTAATGAACAAATTGCTCATGAAAAATTTTTATTGAATTTTCTTATAATATTTGATGAGTTTTTAGTTTATGCTCTTGGTTTTTCAGAAAACAATTTCATCATCATAAAATAATGTATCTGTTTTTTTCAAAAAAACATTTTTATTTTATGCTTGTTTATTTTTGTTAGCAAGCACTTCTAGAATAGTGTAGTATAGTAGTGAGAATGGGCATCCCTTCATTTCTACATTAAATGGTAATGTATCAAGGGTTCCATCCTAAGGATGTTGACTATATAGTCTTGTTAAGGAGAGTTTTAAAATCTTTACCTTATCCAGGTACTTTTTCAAATACATTTGCAAAATATATAAAGATGTTCAGATACGGATTTCCTTATGGTAAACCAAAGAGCACGGGCTTTGGCTTTAGAACTTATTTTGCATCTTGACCGTATGTGAACTTCTGCAGAATATTGAATTTCTCTGAATCCTAGTTCCTAATATGACAAATGAGGGTAATAACTACCTCATTGGGTTGGTATAGGAATTATGCAAAAAAAAGTTTGGAAATCGCCTAGCAAATGACACAGTAAGAGGTCAATGAGTACTACCTCTTATTATTCCCGAAATTTACTTCACTTAGTCATAGTGGAGTAATATTTTTTTTAATATAGTGTTGGACTCCATTTTATTTATAATAAGTTGTTGAATGGTACTTATCTTGAAAGTGAACAATAACAACATATGTTGGACATTCACATATTCATCAATGACACAGGGTACTTTTTTTGTTGAGCTAGATAATAGCTTTTTGAATACTAGAAGAACATTTCCTCAATTTTCTCTCAGAATTTGTGACCAGCTTATTTTTTTTTTTTTTTTTTACTCCACAGATGAGTGAAAAAAGAGTAAATACACTGTATTTCACAAATATTCACCAATACTTGGGGCTAGACATCCCCTCTTTCCCCAAGTAACAGAAAACTGTAGTGGGTGGAGGATGTCAGAATTATAGGTCATTGGCCTCATAGAGTCTGCTGTGGCGTTTCCCTCTCTCCTCAGTGTGAGATGGGGCAGCCTTGTTTTCTCCACAAAGCTGATGAGGGTTTCCTACAGAATCACTCACAGAGACTGGTGCCTGCAAAAGGTGGAGTCTGCCATCTCATTCCTCAGTTGCACATTTGTCAGATGGCACACATGCTGACAAATGGCTAGCTATATGAAAAGAAATTTGGAGAGTGTTGAGTGAAGGATGAAGTAGAACACACCGCCTCCATTGTTTACTCTGGTAACGATGCTTAAGTTTCTAGGGGACCTAATGGACACTGAGGTGGTAACTAGGCTTGGTCATTTTGCTAGTCCCTCATCCAGATCGATGCTTGCTAGTCTAGGGATCCTTAGTAGAAAATGTTGTGGAATATACTGGAGAATATAGGACTTGAGAGGGAATTAGAAGAGTTATGGCCCTACTTGGTTGTGGAACTCATTCCTGTAAAGAACTCTATCCTATTAAAGATATAGGCTCTACTGTTTTCTGTTGTTGTTATTGTTTTTTGCAATTACAAAGATTGCAGTTTCTTTAGAGCAAACACTGTGTCTAATATAGAAGTTCCGAGGCTCCTTTTCCCTGGGGACGAACACCATCTTCCATCCCACCCCACCTTTAGATGCCTAACACAGTGCTTAGTACATAGTGGGCACTCAGGAAAACTTATTTTTTAAATTGAGATATAATTGACATATAAAGTTGTATTATATGGTGTACAACATAATTATTTGATTTATGTACATAATGCAAAATGATTACCACAATTAGTTCCGTTAGCATCCATCACCATACACAGTTATAATTATCTCTCTTGTGATGAGAACTTTTAAGACCTAATATCTTAGAGAGAAAAAAAAAAAAAAAAAGCCTAGCAGAGGTAAAAGTTCCCCAGAGATACCAGTTATCAAACCAAGGAGAGCCTCCTTTATTTTTTTAAATTAATTTATTTTTTATCCTCACCCGAGGACATTTTTCCATTTTTTGTACAGATAGAGTGGGAGGGAGAGAGAGTAAGAGAGAGAGAGGGAAACATCGATGTGAAAGGGACACATCGAGCGGCTGCCACCCGCACGACCAACCAGGGCCGGGGACAAACTGCAACCAAGGTACATGCCCTTAGCAGGAACCGAATCCGGGTCTCTCTGGACCGCAGGTGGATGCTCTAACCGCTGAGCCAAACTGGCCAGGGCAAGGAGAGCCTCCTTTATTTATTTATTTATTTATTTTTTTTTTTATCCTCACCTGAGGACATTTTTCCATTTTTTGTTCAGCTAGAGCGGGAGGGAGAGAGAGGAAGAGAGAGAGAGAGAAACATCGATGTGAAGGGACATATCGAGTGGCTGCCACCCGCCAGGGCCGGGGACAAACTGCAACCGAGGTATGTGCCCTTAGCGGGAACCGAACCCGGGTCTCTCTGGACCGCAGGCCAACGCTCTAACCACTGAGCAAAACTGGCCAGGGCCGGGAGAGCCTCCTTTAGCTACAGCTCTTCAAATATGCAAAAGAGTATTGTTAACTATAGTCACCATGCTGCATATTACATCCCCAGGACATTTATCTTATAACCGGAACTTTGTACCTTTTCATCATCTTCCCCCATTTCCCCAGCAATGT